CCTGAAGTAGGTCAATCTTGTGTATACAAATACCATTCAACAAGCTTACATGAGTAAACAATTACAAATCAAAATCTTGAAATCTCCTACTATAGCGTTCTTCTCCTAACAAAAGGCTTCTGAGTAACGTAACAACGTACAGATAGCAGCATGCAATCTGTCGGCTGTTCCCATCTGTCGAGCTTCCCTCGACCTGGCAGAGGATGTTATTGAGACAGAGACGATGCCCTTCTTTTTCTGTGTCAACTGTCAGTACATGATACTTTTCTTCTTACCAGTGAACACAAAAAAAACTAACACAACCCGAGAAAAAAAAAAAGTATGTTTAGTGTTTTTTTTTTATTATTTTCGGATAAAACTGGGTCGCCTTTGTTGCACTAATTGTTCCCGAGTCTCTTGTCTGCAACATTTATCGGTGCCCTTTTAGGCTGTAAGGCATCTTCATTGCGCATTTAGCTCCCAACATGTGTGCGAAAAGTGTTCTTTAATGGCGTGCCTAGATTAGTGTTTCGAACTGCATGATCGGGATCCCTTGGTTCGTGGGCCGCGTTTGCATTGTTAGCAGTGCGAGTAAGAAAAACAAAAGTGGTCGGGACACGAGCACGAGCGGGGGAAAAAAAAGAAGGACGAAGGGGATAGGGACGCACGAGCACGGACGATACGGAACGATTTGTAACGCTTTCTGATTAAATGTGTTTTCTTAACTCTAACATGGCGTAGCCGACACCAAGTCCTCCAGTAATCGCAAACTTTAGGTACGGATGCCCAACAATAATTCATATCGACGCCAGTCAAGCTGGTCTGGGAGCGGTACTCGTCCAAGTTCAAGAAGAGAGAACGAGTAATTGAGTATGCAAGCCGCAGTCTCAATGAGCACGACTTGAAGCTCCATTCAAACGCTCTCAAGTGCATGGCTCTCCACTGGGCCGTCACCGAAAAATTCGCCATTTCTGTTCATGGATGACCTCGATTCACGGTTGTCACAGACAACATGAGCCTTACGTACCTCGTAAAACAAGGTACAATCAACCGCAGATTCGCCAGGTTTTAGCGGAATACGAATTCGATCTTGTACACCGATCTGGAAAACCCAACGGAACAGCAGACGCGATGTCACGACTTGACATGCCGGACAGAGACCTGGAAGGCCTCATCAACAACGAGGCGGCTGGATGCACACTCAAGTGCTTGGCGATTGTGTTGAATCAGGACTCTCGCCTCAGGAGTTTCCAGACGTCTGATCCGGAATGCCAACGACTTAAACTACTACAAAACAAGGAGAACAGTCTCTTCGAAAATGAAAACGGGATCCTCGTACGAAAACTGATCCGCAGTGGACGACAAATCACGCGAATCGTGGTAACTCTCGCGTTGCGCGACATTGTAATGTCTACGTGCCATGATAAGGTCGGACATATGGACACCAGAAAAACGTCAGATCAGGTTTCGAAGCGCTACTGGTGGCCGTCCGTGACCAAGGACGTCACACGGTATGTTCGATCGTGTGACATATGTAGGCAAGCAAAATCGCCGCACAACTGCCAAGGAAGGATGCCTTATCCCAAGAGACATTCCTGACGAACCAAACCAAGTAATCTCGCTTGATCATTTCGGACCAATGGTGGAGAAAGGAGGAAATATCCACGTTTTGGTATGCCCACGCTACACGCTAAGTCGACGCATCAGCTGTCCCCAACTACATCAACTTTCTGACGAAGAGATGGATCCCCAGGTATGAGGTACCGGAAATAATCATCACAGACCAAGCAAGAGGAATGGTGAACCGAAACACAAAAAAGAATTCATCGACGTCTTGGTGTGACACAGACCACATCTCCACCATATTGGTCGGAAGCAAACGGTCTTATCCAAAGAATGGTAGGAACAATCAAACAAGTCCTACGGAAACTTGTGGACAACCGTCTTGACTGGCATATTTCATTGCAAGATGCAGTAACCGCCGTTAACGTCACGAGACAGAGCTCAACGCGATACAGCCTTTTCTCGCTAAGGCACGGGTATGATTCAAAACTTCCAGGCGAACTAAACATTGGAAGCGTTGATGATGACATAACAGAAACCGAAAGGATGCTCAACCTTGCCAGGAGTCGATGCGCTGCAAAGCAAAATTTGGAAAATAGCCAGACGCTGGCGAAATCCCGGTACGAAGCCGACATGAAGGCACCTTGTTTTAACGTCGGTGACTTCGTATATTGTATCAAAGGATCTCGGTGTGGAACCCTGGACTCTCTATTTGAAGGACCGTACGAAATCAGAGAATTCAAAGACAACAATATTATGTTGCTGAAAACAGCCGTCCCCATAGAGGGCAGATCCAACTCGAGAAGCTAATTTACAACAGCTACGAAGATTCGTCGCAAGAGATATCGAGCCACTCGAGCTATCAGACACTATAATAGGACAGGCGCTAGCAAACTAAGTGGAAACAGAATCGCTGCAAAACACGCTCAACTTCGCAGAGGGATCTCCCGAAAGCGTTGAAGAACCAGCTGGTTCAGCGCACAGCGGAGATGAATTGGACCCAGCAACTCAGAATGCAACATCAACACGTACGCCAAGGGAACGAAGGACTCCAGCATACCTCCGAGACTATATCACAAATTGAAGTGACGTACACACTGGAATTGAGGACAATTCAAACTTTAAAAAGCTCTGACACGCCCAAAATTTTTTTTTTCATGCTAGGCGTTGAATTAGCATATCAGGACATTACAAAAAAAAAAAATTTTTTTTCACAATAGAGTTGCGTAGTTTTTTACAAAAAATAGAAATACGAGGCCCACTTCAAAGTTCCCGCCAGTGCACTGTGACGTAACAGTGTACCGCAGGGTGTCGGGGCGGTCAGAAGGGAGGCATCGACCTACGTCACTAAAAGTGGGTTCGCCGGAAGTCATGTGAGTTTCACTCCTCGTGCTCTCCGCGACCATGACTAAGACTTTTTTTATATATTTTTTTATTCTGCTCTTCGTACGAGCGATCGTAGAAAACGAAGTTTCAGTTCTACTACCTCTTTATCGCTGCACCATTGGTTAGTTTTCGTGCTGTAAAAGTTCAGGACGAATGGTCAGTGGATCGATGTGATGGAGGTCAATGATGAAAGCGTTGCGAGTACAAGCCAGTGTACGAGTGCATGCCGTCAGTCCGATGATACAGATGCTATACTGGGCACAAAACAAGCTATCAAGTTCTGGAAAAGAAATTTAGAACGCACGCAGAAATTAGGATTGCTAGCATACGACACGCCTGATCGCATTGCTGAAGGTTCAGACACCGAGGTCGTTGAATCATCGGATACTCTTCAGGCTGAAGATGCCTGCCGTCTAAAGAATACGAGCTGGTGAGTGTATCAAGTACCAGTAAACGTCGAGCATAAAGTACGTGTTTTGTCTAGAACATGGGTAGAACTTGTTTACTAGGTGAACATGCAGCCGATGCGTCGTGATGTCTGAATTCAAGACTCTTGAGTGCCGCTGTTGCAGGGAGATAGGCAGGAAACTTGCAGACCTGCAGCCGATAGGTTGCATAACATCACACGAAAAATTCGCACTCGTTAGCTTGAATATAACAATGCTCAAAATTGCATACTTCGAACTTCACGACAGGAAGTTTCCAATGCCCATGGATATTCACAAGTTAGTCTAGTTCTGTTGCCTACAGTCTAAAAGTTCAGGCTGGGGTCGAAGGAAAATTACCGCGCAGGAATTAACTTGATAATTTCAATTTGTTCTAATTTTAGGAAATACAGGTACACGGCGTACAGGTGGGCCCTACGCTGGGTGTGGGGCAGGCTGGGCAGTTTTAGTAAACTTCGCCTAGGGTTGTAATCTTCATCACTAAAGTGCATCGAGCATAGCCATCGCCTACCCACGGATTCTAATAGCTGTCCTGCGGGAACCGCAGTCAGCCACCGGTCCATCTCTTGTATGTCTCTCGGAAATGCACGCAGTGTGATCTCTTCTTCAGTTGCTGAAATACCGGGACAGTCCCTCACACAGCACCTTCTAGGCATTGTAGTCAGCGACCCCGGAAGTGTATTTTACGTGGGGGGGCTGGCGGTCGAACTAAAAGGTGAAGGGGGGGGGGGGGAGAGTAAAATCTAAAAAAAAGCATCCATTACCAAGATTTCACTGTTAATACAAGGTTAATTATCATTTCCTATACCGTATGTCCCTGCATTAATTCAAAATTCTTGTCACGAAGCAATGAAATATTGACACGGTCTGATCCAATAGTAGTAGCTGCACGGTGGCATCGATCTACGGTGTCGATGTAGAATGCACCAAAATCGGGCGCCTGCACGTGGAGAGCTCACATTTTCAACGAAGGTGTATTTTAATCCTGAACGGATTCCTCTGAAATTTCTCGGCGTAGCTTTGTTCTTGTGAAAAGTTGTGACATTCTTGAAAATTTCAAAAATGCGTCCGCCATATAGACCGAGTTTGCCACCGGTGGACGCGGTCGTCAGCATTAAATTCCAATGAAACCGAGCTATGCCTAACATTCACAGACGCAGAGTTACGCCGAGAAATTTTGCAAGAATGCGTGCACGACTAAAATATACCTTCGATGAAAATATGAGCTCTCTCCGTGCAGACGCCGATCTTCCCAGTGCATTTTACATCGACACCGTAGAACAATACTATATATTGCGTTGAATAGCAGTGAAGCTTGCTAGTATTCGCATAGACGTGTTCCGCCATTAACCATGCCTCGCGTCCGTTCTATAAATTTAACGGCTTTCTGCAGCATCCCATTGAGTCGCAGAAGAGTTTTCGTCATTCTTTTGTCACGCAGTTTTGATAATTTACTTACCATTATTGGTAAATATATTAATTCCTATATAACGTATATTTGAGTGCAGTAGTAACCTTTTTACGGAAATTGAAGAAATACTACGTTGCCAAAAAAAGCGGGGTTTATTTAGTCGCCCATATTTATTTGGAGCAAGAACCAGTGCACACGACCTTTTTGAAAATAGTTCATGACGCAAGTTGCGCAATCACGCCGAAAGTAGCTGACCGCTCAGCGGTTCTGGAGACGAATTCTCCCATCACAGCGTTCAAGTCAAGCTGCCTGGTCTTCTCCTTATGGACATGAAGCAGAAGCAGCTGGCCGAGGCGTTTCTGAGTCATCCGATTTCGCAGGCACGTTTGGACTCTCTCCAGGGCACTGAAAGAGCGTTCTTCTGTAGCCGCCGACGCAGGCACGGTCAATAAAAGTTCTAGCAGGGCTACTACCTGGTCAAGGAGGTTGCGCACCGTCTGAGAATTTTCATTTAGGGCTTGCACCAGATCTTCAACTTTTTTCATTGGTGCAGCTGAGATGGTCGGAAGGAGCATGAGCTGTGCGCCAAGCCTTCCTAGCTCAAAGTCAGGGGCGTGAGAGCCGAGTTCGTCTCTCAGACGCTCCGCGCTGAAATGCTGTCCAGCTGCTGTGTGGATCAGAACGTTCTCTAGCGTCGCTAGTCTCTCCATGCCGGGCTGGTCAAACCTACTGCTGATTTCGCTTGTGACGCAGTCGATCGCCGCAGAATACTCCTTTCTCAACCTTGTCTTCGCATCAAGAACTGCAGGTCTTGCTGGGGTGCTGGTTTGTTCGAATCGTGCCGGTGGTTTTGCAGGCCTCGGTGGTTTGGCAGACGGTTGTTTCAAGCCCAACTTTTCCGCCGCGTCATTCGACTCCTCCCAGATGCTTTTGAAACTGACATCCGATCTTAGTTGTGTTAAGGTCTGTGTAAGGATCTTCGCAGCTTGTCTGGCCCCAGTGGCGCTGTAATGAACGCCTTGCAGTATCCTTGCGAGTTCTTCACATGGCCCGAAAACAGCGATCGCCACGTTTAATCTAAGGACTGTTTCTAGATTACCCAGAATCTTCTCATATCCTCTCATAGCCGCTTTGCGGTCATCTCGAACTGAACCTGGAGTTTTGAGGATTTCCCAAAGTGTTGCTCGGACTCGTTCGTAATTTTCGAGGAATCTTTGCACAGATTTCACCCGAACCACCCATCGTGTCGGACACAAAGAAAGCAGGGCGGCTGGCGGTGGACCACGATCCGAATTTTCCCCCATGGAAGGAAGAACGATGTTGCTGTAAACACTTTTCCTCTTTGCTGAATCCAGGATGATATTTGAAACGTCTTTCACAGTTGTTAGAGCATCGGCAACCAATTCATTGCCACGGCCGACTTCTTGTAGGGCCAGATCGAGGGAGTGGTTGCTGCAATGAATGTACACTGACTTTGGCTGGACATTAGCAATCCTTTTTTGCACTCCAGAAAATCGACCTGACATGTTTGCAGCTCCATCATTCATTCATTCATTCAATGCTTTATTTTCAAACTTGCTTTCAAAATACACAAAAACTCTTTGGACCCATAGCCGTTCAGGCTAGTCCGGGGTCCAATCGTAATATAGGTTCAAAAAGCGGCAGAATACAATAGACTCATACAATGCGCAAAAAAACAAAAGAAATCACGTTCTAGAAAGTAATTAGCTTAACTGAATTTCATAATCACGAAAGAATCGTTTTAACGAGGGCAGAAAGTTGTTTTCCAACTTTATAATAATAGGTATCTCATTCCAAACTAGAGCACCACAAAATTCTATCAGCCTTTGTCCATATGCATTATGGCATGGCGGTAAATTAAACATAATTCGCTGCAGCCCTTGTTTGTCTCCTGGGAGATCGAAATAAATTCAAAGAAAGGGGTTCATTAGACTCTATGATTTTACGAACTGTTTGAGCTAATTTTAATTTGTAAATACAACTAAATGGCAACACGTTTAGCGATTGGAAAAGCGGTCTGCTAGGGTTAGTGTTTCGTGAAAATGTTATAAATCGTATCGTCCGTTTTTGCAAGCGAGTTACCGGATCTAAGTATGTAGCGTAAGTATTACCCCTGGATTCAATACAATAGACCAACTGACTGTGGACGAATGCAAAATAGAGTATGCGCAAAATAAATAAATCAAAACATTCGCGTGCCTTTAATAATGTATAACAACCATATGCAATTTTCGAACACATGTGCTTAATTTGGCTTTTCCAGTGCATATCAGAATCAAACAGAACACCTAAATATTTATAACAAGTAACGTGTTGTAATTCCGTATTATCTAATTTTATAACTACCTCGTCGTAATCAATCACCCTTTTCCTGGAATGAAACACCGTATACTTAGATTTATTTAGGTTGATTGTAAGTTGATTACTTGTGAACCATGACAGTACCCTAATCAATTCCTCATTGATTTTATCCTGCAATTCGCCTAACGTATCCCCAACAAAAATCAGTGCCATATCGTCGGCGTACATTAATGCTTCTGAATATTTTAAGATCGATGGAAAATCATTTACCATAAAGAGAAAAAAGAATGGGCCCAAGAACTGAGCCCTGGGGCACACCAGTTAACACCGTTTGGGGGGTAGAGATAAAATTATTTATTACTACGCACTGTTTACGGTTAGAGAGATAGCTATTAAACAGCTCCGACGTTTTCCCCCGAAAGCCATACTGATGGAGTTTATAAAGCAAGATACTATGATTAACTGTGTCAAATGCTTTTTTTATATCTAAATATACAACAACGGCAATTTTACTTTTATGGAGAGCTCTGTTGAGATGTTGAGTTAGGACAAAAACAGCTGAGGACGTTGATCTATTTGGTCTAAATCCGTGCTGATTGTGGCAAAATATTGAGTATTTAGTTATAAATTCCTTTATACGTTTGCATATTTTTTTTTTAAAACTGTGTTAAGTGTACTTAAAACTGAAATTGGTCTATAGCTGGACGGTGCCGAAGACTCTCCATCTTTAAAAATGGGTATTACTTTAGATATCTTCAGCTCGTTAGGATATATTCCATTTTCTAACGTGTGATTAAACAAATGTAAAAGATGAATACCTAAAATATCAATATTATCTTTTAATAGTTTAATAGGAATTGTATCTAGTCCTGCGGCTTTACCTATTCTAAGATTCCCAACTACTGATATTATTTCATTAACTTCAATTTCTTGCATTACAAAGCTATTTGTAATTGGTGTCAATGACTGCTGGGGATCAGGTACGTGCGGCAACTGAGCTGCTAGGAGAGGCCGTATATTAGTAAAATAATCATTAAAAGTGTCTGCCGTGTTCTGTTCGATTAAATCAGGTAATACATGTTTATTTGGACGAAGGCCAATAGCATCATTGACTGTGTCCCAAATTATTTTAATGTTTCCGTCCGCTTGCCTAATTTTAGTTGAGTAATATTCTTTCTTTCTTTTTCTCAACATAGAAACTGATCTGTTCCTGAAATGTTTAAATTGGCTTAAATAGTAATTATTATGTTTATGTTGTGTCCATTTATGATACCATTTATCTTTTTCCTTTAGTACCCCTAAAATTTGGCTTGTCATCCAAGGACAAACCGGTACATTGTATTTATTAGACGTCGTTTTTACAGCACTCAACATTATCGCGTTTTTGAGACTAGTAAGGAAGTTGTAGTATTCGATGTGAACGTTTTTATTATACCTGGAGTATATATCTAGTCATTCTAATACCCTGCGAAGCTGCGCATAATCTATTTTGGTGCGCTGTTCAGGACGGCAAGATTTTCTTTTATGAATAATCTCTTTTTGTAAAACAAGAAAAATGGCCAAGTGGTCAGCTATTAAGCTTGGGTAAACACCAGCATGGGCATCCGTATCAGTATTGCAAAGAGCATGATCAATTAACGTACTGGAGGTGCTAGTAATGCGAGTAGGTTCAGTAATGAAGTTGCGTAAGTTGAAAGATTCTAAAAGCAGCGTATAGCTATTATGCGTATCACTAGTCAGATCAATGTTAAAGTCGCCAACAACTACAATGCGATCATTCTGTCCATTAGACAATGCCGTAAGTACTGCCTCGAATTTTACAAGAAAATAGCTTACTAACGAGCTTGGAGATCGATATACTACACCGACTATTACGCCACAATCAAGCTTTATAAAAAGTGCTTCAATGACATCATCACTAATAGCGGCAGGCGATAGAACCTGGAAAACAATATTTTCTTTTACAAAAAACGCGACGCCTCCACCTCTCGTATGCGTGTCACGTGGAAGAGATGATAAATTGTAGCCATGCATAAGAATGGTTTCATTGTTTTTTAACCAAGTTTCACTAACAGCGATTACATCAAAACCAGGCACATGCTGGGAAACATGCCCAACTAAAGAGTTAAAGTTTTTTTCGTAAACTACGTACATTGCAATGGAAAATCGAAAGCTTATCTTCGTTCTGTATCAGTTGTTCAACATGCTGAAAAGTGAAAGACATGATAAACGTAGTAACACAAGTCTTTGCGTCAGGTTCATAACAGTTACACCACCCTAATCAAGTCTCCCTCACACGTGATCTGCAAGACAGGCGAGTTCTCGGTCTTCCGCATAAGGACCTTGCCCTGTGACACCCAAACATATTTCCAGTTTTTCCCTCGCTTTGCCTGGCGAGCTTCGTTTAGTAATACCTTGTTTTCGACACAAAGATGTTCATTTATATTTATCAAAGCACATTCCTCGCAGTTTGTCGAAGCTAAAGCCCAGACGTACAATCATGTCTTTCACGGCACTGAAAAGTGTTTCCGACTTTGTGTCGGGTGGATTGTATACGCCGATGAAATCTTCGTGCACTTTCATTGACCCTCTTTCCACCCAACGCAAACATAGCGTAAACTGCTCGTCTCCCGTCACGTCGGTCGTTCCATCAGCAATGATTCCGAAAAAGAGACTCGTCTTTATTACAGTGCTGAGGTCATGCTGGAGCATTTGCGCCATGATTTCAATCATCTCATTTTGGATTTCCCCACTTAGCCATTTGTCTCTTCGAGTCAGCCACTTCTTTAGCGCAGGTATATCGTCTGATCGTTCTTCCAGGAGCTCAATCAAGTTACCTTCTTGCTTGGTGCGCCCTTGCAAAGCCTGGCCAGTGGTGCAAAGGTATCGCACCGAACTGATGATCACGCGCAGCACAGCTCGTGCTTTCTCTTGCTGCCTGCTCGCGTGCTTGGTGAGGAGTCCAATAACGACCAAGCCTTTCTTTTTCGTCTCGAGATACGCAACGGATTCGACGGGGTAGCGACTTTTTTCGTGACCACGGAATGTTTCGAGCGCCTTCCTCCAGTTTGAAAATCCAGTTTTTATGAAACTGGGTTCAATGACTGCAGAGTCGTCTCCCTTCTCTCTAAATGCCTGGATGCATTTCTGGCAAACAACATCGCGATCTTCGATGTACTGAAGCCAGGAAAACCTTTCGAACCACGAGTATTGGCATTATCTGTCGGTGTTGTTCTTCGGGAATTCGTAGTTCTTCGCTGGGTGGAATCCAGACAGAGGCTGGTGGTCCGCTTCATCTGTGTTGTGGCAATCCGCTCCGCGGTGAGGAGACAATCCGACCATGCTTCCATCATCATCGAGCGCTGAAGAAGTTAGAAGAAAAACAAAAAAAGTGTAAGTTGAATACGTAGACTATTAAAAAAAGTTGTAAGCAGTGCTAGTGTGCAGGCGAGCTGGTAAGTAATGCACTTCTTGTAGACGCTGAGATGGGGACCATATTTTGAGACTGTTGTTTTCGTCCGCTTTTTATTGTTTCCCATCTCAGGGTCTACAAGATGTCGAAAACAAATAGCCAAAATTTTACAGCATCACTGTGTGGGCGATACTGCGCTTTGCACCAGCGCGCCTGGGGAAAGCATCACCGCTTCGCCCAGCATGCTGGTGTTAACCTGCGCCACTTTAAACCGGGGCAGTGCGGCGGAGCAGCTTGGCTTTCTCGGGGCTCCGAAATTCGGCTGATCTAGTTTCAAACTTGGCAATGCTTGCTAAATATATCTATTTTTTCGAACAGTCCTATTCAATTCGAAGTATGAATCAAATATGGGGCTATTTGCTTCGATATTCGAAGGTTTTAAATATTCGCAGTACCCCCGTATATTAGTATTCTGGTACAAATATGTAAAAAAAGGCAAAACCTACATTTGGGAGCTCGCAGAACCCAGAAGACCAGCCCGCGGAACTCAGTTTGAGAACCCCTGGTCTACACGACTAATTTCGTGCACGTACGCCTGATATCCTTCAAAGAGCAACCCCTGACGTACACTTGGGTGAGTTTAAATGTAAAAACGACACCAAGAAAAAAAAACAAAAAAAAACTCGATAACATGAACTAATATTTTGGATTGGGCTAATAAGTTCATGTTCATTAAAATATCTGAAAGCGCAAAAAACACACTGCCAAAGAAATTGAAAATCAGCGGCCGTC